TCTCCCAAGACTGGCTTTACCCTGCACCCGTATGGCGTTGTTGAAAGTGCGTCGTTCCCTTGTCTAGGGTCAAACGATATTTGGCCGACTCCCTTGTTCCTGACTGCGTGTATCCATTGTTAAGGTTTTTTATCTCGTTTATTCTTCATCATTTGTTTAATAGTACAGTACAATATTGATTGTTGTTATCATGGAGGTTTGAGGTACGCGTTACTATTGAATACATAGAAAGAGGAGGCAAGAAACTCGAAACAGTCAGATTCAGGGATGGGGTTAGGATTATGTTAAGGGTTCAGGTCTCAGCTTGTGTGAACTGTAGACTTTAAGTTGACGGTAGGGCTAATGGTAAGATTAATATTACCGTCCCGTTTTAAGTTCGGTTTAATGTTAGAGTAAAGATGCAGAAAAATGTACCCTTCCTGAAATGCATCAAAAGGTCACCTACTTTAAGCTGACGGCGCGCTTCTATTCCAGTGTCCTATTTAGGCAGCCATCAAAGTCATCCTTACCGAATACAATCGAGTTTATAATTAAGATGTTGGGACTGGACAAGTCAGAGAGAGCCCTTTGGTTTAAGTGAAAAGCACGTTTCACCGCAATCATATTGAATAGGAAAACAGCATATTTACATCTACTGGACGAATACGTGTAACACAGAAACACTCTTTACCATGCTTCTTACGCGGTTGCCAATTACGACACAAACATGTTCAGACGACTCTTAGTGGATGCATAAAGCAACTACGCGAAGATCAGCATACCGATGCAAGCTCCCAACCCCTATCCCTTCCACATAATTTCTGGCCTAGCATGTAACTACCGCAGAAGAAGAAGAAGAAGAAGAAGAAGAAGAAGAAGAAGAGGCGTTCGCCAAGGGGGTTTATGCCTGACATTTCGACTAATTATTTCTAGCCACCTTCAGAGTCTGGGGAGTATTGTGTAGAGCGGGTTTCCGGGGCTGAATCCGATGACCGTTTCGCTGCGACTTGTGTCGCTCCGGCCTTAATAGTGACGATTATAACTGACGGAGCTATAATCGTCTCCTGTCAAGAGATTTAGTAAATATGTTTGATCATGAATGGACGCAAAATGATCAATTAGCTTCCCAACCTAAACAAGCTCCCAATGGATGGCAAAAACCGCAAACAGACAACCAAATACGAGGCCGGAGTCGGAGAAGTATAATATTCGAGGGGTAGTATCCTCGAAAACAAAAAAGTGAAAGGGTCATTTACACCTCGTTAATCCTTGTCAGTCGCCAACAAAATCAAAACAACTTAACTGGCCAATCATTTGGATTGCGGCTAAATTTGTCAGCGAGCTACGGGCTTACGTCGTCCGCCTCGATCGGGAAAACGTAGACTGGTGTGGGAATTATGTCCAAGGTTCTACCTTGATTGAAGGATAGAAAGTTAGTATTCCAGCTTCCAATCAGAATAGGCTAGGGAAAACCAATCTTTTGCGACTCTCTGTGTGAATGTTTTTAACAAAACGGGTACGTGATTTCAGAGTTGAGTGTATATGGTCAACTGTTAATTATTATTTTCCAAGAAGTGGACGATAGTCGGATATTTTTTTGGTTGGTTAATTGAATTAATAAAAGTTATAGTTTCGAATCAAAGGAAATACCTTGATGTTCAGGGTGACTTTTTGAACCAAACCTACAAGCACCAGCGTCGGGACCTTGTGTTGATACGCGCGGAGTTGCCGTATACGCCATCTGCGGAGTCTTCGTCGTTTCTGCTGCAAATTCTCGCGTATATGGCTCGGCGAGAAACCAGCAGTCTGAGTCGTGGACAAAGATTCGCCATCACCCGTTGTTTGTGCAACCTCTGTTAGATAGGTTTCATTCTCAAGTGCGCTCTCATAAATTAGATTGAGGTACTCGGCACTGTTGTTGGATTGAAGACCTTCCGTTGTGGTAAAGTCCCCAAATTCTGACTCAGCCTCTTCATCACTAGTCTCATCAAAAGAGGGTGAAGCTCCAACCTGCAAGATGGAAGGAACAAATGACCAAGCCCAGCTCGACCAAGACTGCTTATCATTTTC